AAAGTTAACAGCTGGAGGTATGGTTAGGTCAATGTTATACTAAGTAAACGAGCAAAGCTTGAGTTGATTGTAAACTACCAAGGTAATGACAAAGTTAACAACTGGAGGTATGGTTAGGTCAATGTTATACTAAGTAAAATCATACAAGTGATAAAAAAGAAAAGGAGAAGTATATAATAATTATATTTCACAATATGTACAACAGATAAGTATTCATGTTATTAAAGTTGTAAGTTCTTTCAAACTTATTTCAACCACCAGTTTTATAACTATCTGCACTTTGTGTGCTTCATACACTGTATCTTGGGCTATAATCTTACACACCCCTAATGGACTGTTTTGACAATCCGTGGTTAGGAACCACTGGCGTAGTTTACATTTTAAGCTAATTAATATTCAATATTTTGCTTTTTCTTTACTGTAAACCTTCACCATCCTCCTTGTATTTGTGTAAGTATGCTAGAAAAAAATACATCATAATGACATGCAGGTCATTTTCCCTCTGTCCTTTTGATTAAACAAGTGTTATTTGTACTAGGAACTAGGCCCGTGATCTCAGTGTTCATACCTCCAGCTGTTAACTTTGTCATTACCTTGATAGTTTACAATCAACTCAAGCTTTGCTCGTTTACTTAGTATAACATTGACCTCACCATACCTCCAGCTGTTAACTTTGTCATTACCTTGGTAGTTTACAATCAACTCAAGCCTTGCTCACCTGCAGAACACAAAAAAATATCTCCATGGACCATCAGTGGTCCATGGACCAGAGGTTGGGAACTACTGAACTAAGCTACATGTAAAATGTGCAGCATTGTTACAATCAACCAACAATTGAAACTTGACATGTTATAATTAAACAACCATGGAAACTAGGATACAGCCAACAATAAAACTAATCATGTAATAAATATCAACCACAAAAACTAAACTACATGTTATAACTAATGAATCACAAAAACCATGCTACTTATTACAAATAACCAAGCAAAAGAACTAAAACATTATAATACATCAACCATAAAATCTAACCTATGTATTATAAGTATCAACCATAAAAATTAAAGTAGAAGTTATAATTAACCAACCATGAAAACCATGCTACTTATTATAAATAACCAAGCAAAAGAACTAATACATTATAATAAATCAACCATAAAATCTAACCTATGTATTATAAGTATCAACCATAAAAATTAAAGTAGAAGTTATAATTAACCAACCATGAAAACCATGTTACTTATTATAAATAACCAAGCAAAAGAACTAATACATTATAATAAATCAACCATAAA